ACAGATATAGTGAAATTCACTTTAAAAACTAGTTTGATAGATAAGGTTTTTCGCCTGTTTTTTTGCTCCTCGAACACCAGTGAGATTAACCTAACACCAAATAGACGCGAATAGAAGGTGTTGCTTACATCAATACGTACTCTTTGTTGTCCGTTCAATATCGGCTTCATATCAGGTGACCTTAACTTCTCCCTGAATTGAGCTTTCATTTTCCGAACAGTGTTATGAGACAATTGCGGCCAATGCGCCCCGACTATTCTTGATAATAGCTGTTTGCAACTTATTTCGGCTGCGATCGAATTAAACTGTCGTCTTGTTTCAGTGTAATTGGTTTTCTCTCATGTTTTATACCTTGACAGAGACATTCCGTTGTTTAATCGATAATTTGGGCCAATTTTCATATCGAAATAGTTGCACAAGTCAGGAAACGAGTCAACGGATTTATGTGCCTCCTGGGAACATTAACTTTCTGCTTCAATTAAACACCAAAAACTCCTAGATATAACGATACTACAAGAAGCTAATTCCACTCACCGGACATCTCAAGGTTGATTTTTGAAGATCAGTTTTATAGTTTCTTAGATTACATTTTTAGTCCAATGAGGAATAAGGATTTTAAAAGCATTATTTATCAATTTATTCAAGCTACAAAATACTCATTAACCAGCTCATTCACTGTGTACCACATGATAAAATGTAACTTATTCAGAGTACGTCTATTTACCAGAATAGACACCCACGCGAAACAGCAGTCAATTACTGGAAAGAATGAACTCCCCTGCTGCTTTGCTTAAAATAGTTTTAATTTTGAGCTGACACATTTGAACTGGTAGAAATTTTATTGTGACACTTCAAGTCACCCGGTGATAAAATACAACTCAAAACATTTAATTGGAAGATAAAGTTCAGGTCAAATGCTCTTCGCGCATGGTCATCGATATATACGTATTATATTGACAGCTACGATGGCTTTCCCAAAGTTTGATCATGTTGAACCAGGTCGATCGATATCTGTATATCTAGATGAAACAGTTGTTCAGATGGATACAAACATTTGTGTTTCTATACAATACCAAAATTTTATCGCCACTCCATCAAGAAATGGTATTCTCCACGGGACGAATACATTTTGGAAATGTGAAAAGAAAAGACCATATTACAATACTGCACGATTTATGTCCAGGACGATTTCGCTGGATCTCAACATGGTGCATACTGCAGAAAATACAATGTTTATTTAGGGCTTTAGTATGACAACAAAGTAAAGCAAAATACATTAAAAACAGACAAAAAATGTTTACGTCCGGTAATTCATCAATAAAGTTCATGGGTGACCGACTCTAACTCCAATAGTGATGGTCTTGAACGATTCACGAGTTTGAATGATTCATTTCTGATCATCTTTTATGATCTGTTGGGAAGTACCATTTCAAGTAGTTCAACAATGATTGTAACCATGGTAGTGATGAATTTCAATCAGCCTCATAGGCAAACATTTTTCTTAAATTGTGTGAATCACAGTGAAAAAGAAATCAAATATTAGGAATTGAGTGTATCAGAGGAATTATTGTATTTTTTTCTCAACCGAGTACTCATGCATACAATTGACTTGAATCATCTATGCTTAGATTATACCTTAACAATGACTAGCATCAGCATACATGGTCAAATGACTTGATTTCCTCACTCTCCATTCATCTGCATCCGCTCGGGGGATCAAATCGGTTCCGGTACGTGAAACAATCCAATCCTTTTCCTTCTCCTCTTCCTCCTCCTCACCCCTCCTCCTGCCGGTGCTCCTGCTGCTACGACGGCCGATTCCGGTCTGCTTAGATCAATGCGGAACGACAACTGTTGGACCAAACTCTCCTTCGGGTGAAAACAGTGATAGGAAAAGCCAAGTCGGAGAATTTGATGCTTCAGTCTCATATGGATCGCGTTCTACAGGCAAGTTGGTTGCACAACTTTCTGATTGGCTATGACATTTCCTGTGTTTCATAAACACACACGCACATACTCACACACACACACACACACACACACACACACATATATATATATATATATATATATATATCTTGGGACAGGGAAATTGTTGAACATGCCATTCTTTGTCATAGCCTTAGCGAACAAGTACGAATGAGATTAGTCCATAATAACAGTAACAACCGTCAGCTACTTTTTGTATGCAGACATTTTTCAATCATTTTTAAGTCGAGGGGCCAAAATCGACTAAAAGGATACAAGACAATTATCCGATACTTTCCAGGTAATTTGGCACAAATAAAAATTAAAGTTTTGGATAAACTTGTTTCCAGGGGTGAATGATCATCACCCATAAACCAAAAAGACCGTATCACATGCTCTCATTGGATCCAGATCTCTCGTTTTCGTTCCTATTGCACATTAGTTTTGTTTTACTGTCCCTCCTCAACTCACAATGCGTCATTAGTTTGTCAAACTGGTGGGTGTCAAGTGTGCAATTCAATCCACTGATTATTGGCCAACAGCCTTGTTAATTGTTGGACGTATAAATTCGATTACTTTTTACCTCTACGGTTGCATATGGGAACACAGTATTTATCAGAGATCTGTCGCATCAGTTTCGATAGGAGATACATTTTCGTGTAGGAGGAAGGTAAATTGTTACAAATTGTCAGGATTAAATATAGGCTTAAGACCGAATATGAAATTCAGACAAATCGCGAGGATGTCTGTTCATTCGATTGGCAAGGTTCATCAAGATGTGTTATGAATCGGAGGATGGTCTAACAGCCTATAAAACTGTTTATGTAGACGAACTCACCCCACTACCACCACCACTGGGCCCAGAAAATGACAGCCGTTCCGTTTTAAACTCCGACAGCGAGCAGGTATCGAGCACCTCCACCGTATGGAACTGGTTTAGGCATGCAGCATATTCACGATGAATCCTTTTGGACAAGCGCCTCCATACTTTGTTTGGCAAGAAAAAGTCCACAAGTTAGCACCGAAAGAGACAGTGTATTCGGGCATTTTTTCGTTCAACCGCAACCACACAGTTGAGCAGTTCGACATCTGTATTTTTGCCGCGTAAAATGTGATATCAAGCGCACTCGATAATTGGCTTTCTGTCACTTCTTTAGCTCTCTTATTCCTCAAAGATAATAATTTATTCATTTTTACCATGAGAACACACATTTAGAGGTGAAGAATTCTTTTCATTGATTCATAGTCAGTTTTCTAGGTTTTGTGTGCCAACTTTTTCCATACCACTTCATGCAACTGTTGAGCAAAAGATCAGAGTAACCGTTTTTCACCTTCAAGTGCTTCTTCTGAAATCCCTTTGCTTTTCTTTTGCGTCATTACTGACGATCATTCTTTCTTCATCTGTCTGTTCGTCGGCTGGCGAGTCAAATTGATTTCTATTTTAAGAGGCTGGAATTGCGGAATTGAAGGTACCACCTGTTCAGAGTTCATGCGCTGCACCGAAAACAACACAGATTCATCCGATCTACCACTGAAACCGTCTTTCGGATGGGTCAATTTGTTGTTGTTGACCTAACAATGTCCAGTCAAGTTTTTCCGGTGTTCTGATTCTCGCTGACATTTATGTGATAGACATCTCAATTAATTATGTGGATAGTTATTGCGGGCAGTCAGGGATACCGGATAACCGATGGCAATAGTTGTCATAGTTCAACCTCAGAGAATTAGACAAATAGGCTGTTTTCGTTGTCTAAGCATAAATTGAGAGTGCAATGCTTGGAATTCATTTGACAGAATGGCAGAAAAACGTGATTTTCGATGACAACTGAAAAATCCAGCTTGTGTTACGAATGTAGTTTATCCGATCACTTAGATACAGGTCATACCATGCTTGGGACCTTACGAATTGGAATTAGGAAATCTAAATTTCCGGAGGGGGGCAGGGAGATGACTGAGTGTCGCCTTATGTGCTTCAAAATACGGGCCCTCAACTGAATAAAGGGTCAGATTGATTGCGGATTAAATGTTAACATGCCTACTGAACAAAGAAAATGTGTAAACTTTTGGACCAGTTCAGCGAAATGATTTGATCAATTGACGCGGATACATTGAGGCCACGATACAATGTATGCCAAACCCCAAAACCAGTCTCGTGTTGATGAATGACTAACACCACAGGTGTACATTCGTCCCCCTCTCCCGTTTCTAACTCTAAAAGGACTTACTTTTAACAACGCAACGCAACTGCAGTGAAGTGAACAAGTATTGCTCTATAGAGCAATATAGAAATCTCTACAGAATGTTCAAGTATGAACATTTTGAACTACCCTAATTGGGACTTATGAACTATTTGATCGCATCAACGTGACTGCTTGACCTCTTTTTCGACTCTTGTTTTGTGTGTTGTTGTGTTAACTTGAGAACGAGTTGTCACTTGATGTATGCACTACAGACATGCGTCCTAACCCATCCCTCTGATGTCGCATACAACTGTTGCTTGCCACGTGCACGTTCCCGATTGCCTTGACGGGTTGACGCGTGATCATCCAAAACCTTTTGTCGATATCCTTCTCCAATAATCATCCTACTCAAAATCTCCTGCCGACGTGCACAATGAAAACACCTCGACGGAGGAGGGGGTGGTGTTTTTTCTATAAACATCTCATTTGGCCATGTGCCAGCACGCAGATGGATAAATATTGCAGGCTTAATTGCAGAACAAGAGACAGAGAGAAGAGTGTTTGTTGAACAAACGGAGTGGATGTTAAATGGAAAGTGAGGAAAGTGGAACATTAAATTGATGGATGGAACGAGAGAATGAGAAAACTTTCATCATCCGGAGGCTACAAGATATTTGCCTCGTAAATGCGTACTGTCGGTTGAGAATCGAGAACTCGAATTGAGAAATCGCTGGTGTGTGTATTTGTGTATGGTGACTTGTCAGGTATAACTACACGCATGCATGCACGCACGCACGCGAACAGACCACCCCTATCGCTTAAACAGACCGCGTACTTTTGATGAACGCCGCAATGGAAACCACAGATAAGAAACCGGTCGCTGAAAAACCGGACTTGTCTGTTTCTGCTGTTCAAACCACTCAAGTTGGTTAGTTGAGGCTCTGTTGTGGGACTGTTTATTTACCCCTAATTCTCAAGCGAGACGCGGCCAACAACATACTGGTTATCGGATATTTTCTGTTAATGATCACAAGGTACGGTATTATATTCCAAAAGAACTGAAACATTCAGATCCCGTAATTAATTTGGAAATGCAATGTAAAAGACAAAAACTGGGAGAGGATTTCTTTTCGTATACTCCCATCAGTCCCGTACGTATAGCTTTAAAGTAGACAACCAAATGAAGTAAAGTAAGAAATCAAGGTAGGTTTTATGGTGTGTGTGTGTGTGTGTATGTGTGTGTGTGTATGTGTGTGTGTGTGCAGTTGCATACGATTGGCTACATCAAGTGTAGACCAATAGTACAGGTCATACGCTTTTTGACAAATAATACGTCACCGAAATGATGGAAAAGATACGCAAAAATTCAAATCAGACCTGTTTCCGGTTTCATCACTGAAAGAAAAATGAAAAAAAGATGGAACCTATGGGTTGGCGTACACCGATTCTGTACGGGTTACCAAACAGATATTAACAAGCTATCTCTTTATTTACTTATCTACATAGGACTCGCTTTATCATAACTTAGCCTAGCAGTTCGTGGAAGTCCACGAACATTTTGGTAATCACGCGCTACATGAATCTTCTCAGTTGGCTGATTTTTTCTTCCAGTTTGAACCTGCAGGGTCCTTACCCTTAGCCTACCCCGGGTTTAACCAAGCCTGTGCAACTAAACCCTCACATCAAAAAACGTAGCTATACCTTATTTCAATTCAATTTGTCTTAATATCATTTCAAAATGTCCGGGTTTTAGTACAAGTTGTCTGGGTAACATTTCCAGTTGCCCGAATATCATTCCAAGTTGCCTCTGCATCATTTTAAGCTGTCGCTTTGGCCTCACTTGCGCTGACAGGCCCATGTGTGCAAGCCTCCCCAGCGATGTCTAGGTAACCACTATGCCCCATAGATTTCTCAACCTAATGTTGAAGCGCGGGTGTGACGATTTTGTGACGTGCCTTGATCACACACACCCCTATTCGCATGGCATGACTGGGTTGTTTCACACGCTAGTACACATCCGCGTCCGAGTGTGTGTTCATCCCCTTTCCTCTGAAACGCCATATTGGGCTATGCTCTGCTGACACTGACGAATCATGCGTGATTAGCGCTTGATCCATTGCTTGCGTCTATTGCATGAACTACACCTCAAGCGGCTGCAGTAAGACAATAATCGATCTTGCTCGATCGATATATGTATGCATCAATGTTGTTCGGATTGATATCCCGTTTGTGTTCGCAGAATATATTCCATCTGTGTTACCACCATGTAAGCACCATCAAACATAAAATAAGGTGACCAACTTGGCCATATTTCCGGAACGGAATGAGATAACTCTATCAGAACAACCGCAATCAAAATTATGCAAAAAGGGTTATCGACTTGTACCATCAGTCTTTTGACAGTTAAGTAACTTTATAACCACTGAACTGAATTTCTTACTTCAGTTCATTCGTCGATCTTGTTTAACGTAATGCGTACGAAAGGAATTCCTCTCATAGTGTGAAATTATTCCCGTTTGAGTAGTCATGAGAACACAAAATAGCAAACAAGCTGGTTTTCGGTACTACATGAACTGGCTAAACACAGCACAATTTATAATAGATTAAAACAAATGGGGAGAAGAGACAAATATCTGCGACGGAAATCAGAGTTTAAGGAGGGATGATGATTTTGTGATGAACTTCGGCGGTGGTGACCAAGTGATTCGATCACCAAGTTGCGACCCGGAAGTCCAGGGTTCGAACCGCTCCCCCGAGCTCGTTTTCTTTATTTCTGTTTCCCCTGGCAGCCTTTGTATGGCCGCAGCCCGTTTCATGAAAGTCGACTGTACATTTATACATTCAATAAATAAAAAAAGGAAGTAAAAGGACAAAAAATGATTAAAATTGATGTTTGTGAGTGTGTATGTCTGTATGTGCGTGGAAAATGAGAGACATGGTGGTTGTGAATGGGTGGGTAGGTGAATGAGTGGTTGATCATGAACGGAGGTTACATCACCAGGTTGTTGGTGCATGGGTATGGTAAGATCAATTTTCTTACAAACTGGCGCACAAGTGTGTGTGTGGAGACGGATGGCAATCGACTCGGCTGTTGACGAATTTCTGAACTTGACCATTTTGGATAACCTACCCTTGACCGTATACAGAGGACAGAAAGCCTCAAGCACATTGACTGTGATTAGACTCAGGCAAATGGTTCGTAATTGCCGTTGCTCCGGTCCTTCTCAACCCCTGGGTTCAACCAAATGGGATGATGCCCCTTGATGCGGTCAGATAGACGCCTCACCGTTCAACCCACTTAACTTGAGCCACAGGAGCGGTTGAGTTGGTAAACACAAAATGAGGTCGCATCCGGGGGTAATCTATTTTTAGTCTGCATAAAGAGGACCGGGTTGGGTGCGAATATAATGCGGGGTTCAGCCGCAAAGTAGGTGCATTTGAGGGAAGATTGCATTCGTATACTCAATACTTTCGTAATCGTTTCTCCCCTGATTGGGATGGAGAGATAGACACGCTTCTTATTTGTTAAGTCACATAATGTCTTGAAGGGATATGATATCATGCTTTTATAATGAATGGCTCAGGATATCCATTCTCCAGAAAAACATTTCGTATTCCTCCCAGTTCAAACTCGATAGAGTTCGAAGAACAAAGTTTCTTAACTATGTTGGTTGGGCAGCGAATCGAATTTCTCTTCTGTCGCAATGGGACGAAGCTATGGTAGTGTGTGTACTGTCCCGTCCATGTTTTTTTATGGTAAATGCTTCTACTGTGCTTCTTTGATTTCCCTCTCAGATATTTGTCTCCTCTCCCTACCTGCTTTAATCTATTATAAATTGTGCTGTATTCAGCCAGTTGATATAGCACCGAAAAGGAGCTTGTTTGCTATTTTGTGTTCTCCTCTCATGGTGTTTGTCTTATGATCTGTCTGTTCATATTGTGTTCTTTTGTCTTCTTCATAAAAGCTAGCCTTGAATAAATGAGTTAACTGACGGTAGTTTGGAGGGAAAAGGACTATGACAGTTCCGCTATAGATTTGTGCCGACCGGACTCCAATCCTTCAACAGATTAGAACCCCGAATTGTTAGCTACTTCTCTCGTTTATGCGATCCACTTTCTGATTCGTGCATGACTCACCAGATGTCAAGATCAGAACAGCAATTTGCGACAGAGCTTCAAGTGATTCTCTTCATGCTGCTGACCATCGCGAAAAACTGAAATAACATCCAGTGAACTTATCGGATTTTGGCTGTGATTGACTAAGTCCCTCAGTTCCTTTTCTCCCATTTCGTGAGTGCAGAGAAAAAATAAATATTGTGATTTACAGGTACTTCATATCACTCTATTCGATCGGCAGCAAGGAAGAGATGTGTATACAAATAGGTTTCACATGGAAATTAAAATACATTAGAACCCGATTCATTACTCTTTCTGTTCATATAGGAAGGAGGGTCTGACCAGATTAAAATAGCTATTAGTGTGTTAATCGGAAGGTAGGATTGCGTAGAGAGATTAACGCGACATCGCTGGCGGTTAGCGATTCTGGAGTGTATCATCATACACAGACCACCCCCCCCCACCACCAGCTACTCTCCTTAGGTATGCACCAAAGCTGCTGGCTCCAAACCGGTCACGTACAACCCGATCATAATCACTGCAAGAACAGTGGCTTAGCCAATCATTTTGTCCTTCTCAGTAGTGTTGAAATACGCGCCTGTTTTTTCTTCGGTTTGTAGCCGACTGAAGCATTATGAAACGCTTGCAATATTCACCTTTCATCTGCTCTCTGGTATGCACACTGTATGTCATATTTTTCTCCCAAAAACGAATAGATTTTGGTTGCTGAGATAACGAACATATTCGAGTAATAACCGTCAACACTCAATTTTCACTAGATGTTTTACTCGTACGGTATGCACTTACCTTTTCACTAAGAAGAAAAATATCCATAAATGTATCAATTCCCATGTGCGTACGTATTTAGAAGCTACATGAAATAAACGATACCCGACAACAACTGCTTCTGGAACACTCGGCACTCAAGGCAAAACTCGAAGCCAAACTTGCCGAACAAGTCTTTCATCTGAATTCCTCTTTCGCACAAACTCGCCTTTCACAAGACCAATTTGCCCACCCAACAATCTCCACAACCAATGGCGATGAGGTTTGATTTTCCCTTTTTTCACTTAACTATAAATGTTCCGTTGTCACTTGAGTGTCCTTCGTGAACTAGCAGGTTGATACACCCTATACAACTGATTGCCCCTCCATCCCGGGATTAAAAAAATGTGTCGAACTTTTGCTTTTGTTGTTGTTGCGGTTGTTGTCCCATCTTTGTTATTGGACGAATCATGCATGCGTGAGAATAATGTACCACTCAGTTGTTGAACGGCAGTTTTATTTCGCTACCTCTGAGAGGAGTCAGGCGAAAATAAATTTCTCATCACCCACCAAGCTAGTACTGTCTCTTTAATCAAGAAATGGAATCGTGTTCGAGCAATGAAACGAACACCATCACTGTTACCATCTTTGTGCATTGTTCTTTTTTACGTCGACAGACCACGCGTTGCCACTGATAAAGCCCCCCCCCCACCTCCCTCGTCCATAGCATTCTTCGAATATAAACAAATCGCCATACTCCCTGACTTGGATTAAACAAGAATGGTAGAAAAATTTAAAAAAAACAATGCGATCAAAACCTGCTTCCTGTAGGATGAGAGTGTGGAAGTGAAAAGACATTGGGAAAGTAAGCTGATTTTATGTTTAAGGCAGAATCGCACAAGTGAATCAGCTAGGAGAACTTGACAATAGACCGTGGTCGTTAGCCAAAGAGGGTTTTGGCTTTAAAGAAAATGTAGATCGACCACTTCGACCATTCGCATCATGAAATCATATGTGCGAATAACGGAATAACTGTTTCAATGTTAATGTGCAATAAATGGGTAACATATTTTTGTAGTGACCTCGACGCTGTATCCCAAAAATAGACCAAACAGTGCTTGCTGTTTTGTGATTGGTCTTCGCTCGAAAATATTGTTCGCCTGAAATGAATGCAGCCACAAGTTGTCAAGAAAAATAAAAAAATAGAGATGCATCGAGAATAGAATATACAGATGGATTCAATAGAGGAGTACCACGAATCTGGGAAAGTTCAGTTGAACGACTATTTTGAGTATGCGGTTAAAACATTGCCTTTTTCGAAAATCCATTGGAGTAAGACTTGTTTTTGGCCATCATCTCGTACCCTAGCTTATTATTAAACTGTCAGTGACTTCGTCTTTCTGTTGTACTTTTTTGTCCATCCATGGTCTATTCAGTTGAACCCCAGATGATCTAATGCGTATTTGTTTTCATGGTTTTGTTAGGAACTCAACACGGCCAACGGAGATGAGACCATTGAGAATCTCCGCGTGAGTGCAATTTGTAAACATGCTTTTCTCACATGAAGTCAAGTCAAGTCAAGTCAAGTCAATAATTTGCTTTATTACACCATTTGGTACAAAATTAGCTACCAAATGAAAATGTGTAGGGCCTGCTAAAGTTGGGTTACAACTATAGCGATTATTGGATTTTCTTTACCTACGTATACTTTGTACACTGGAATCAGAGACTCATACAGTGAGAGAATAGGCATTTATCTATTCAATGCAGTTAGTATGGATGCAGTACGACTTGACTAAATTCCACAGTTCACACCTCATTTATCGGTTTACCAACATAGAAATACTCACAGGGATATTTTCCGATTACACATGGTGTCGAATGTTACTCATCAGCACTTGTTCAAACCTGTCAATCCTTAAATAATCAAACCGTTTTACACTAACACCTTTGTGGTCTGAGTTAAGCCAAAAAACATTATCTGAAATTTTACTATCAACCCGTACTGGACAACGAGCTGTCCTACACACACTTGCGCGCTGTTCTTTATCGTGCGAGTTAGATTCCTTTGAACTTTAACTCTAGACTTTATACCCGAAACCAGAATCAAATGACCTCCTTCTATGCCTGGGTTTTTTATCCCTGAACGTGTATAGCGTTCTCGAGGACTAATCCATTCAACTATCAACTATCAAATAATTTTACCCCTCATTTTGCTTGTACTCTTGTGTGACAAAATTTATTCACAGGTCCATTTACGAGAATTGGAAAAACGATGTGCCCTTCAACAGCTTCGTCACGAAGAGGTGTTGCTCGAATTGGAAGATGCCCGGAAACGAAGCCGTCAGGATTCCAATCTTATTCCTGCCCTGTCCGTTAATCTCGATTCTACCTACACTCCCGCCCGAGCATCAGCGTTGGAATTCGGTTCACACTATTCGACTCCCACTGGCGGTGTGGTGGCCTCCTCATCCTCGGTCATTGCAGCTCCCACCGCCACCGCGACCAATGTACTAGTCAGTCGACCCACACTGACTGATCTCAATTTAACCGAAGGTCGTCTTGGTGCACCCACACACGAGCTGACCAGTCAGCTCAGTCTAAACCAGAGCATTCAGGGAGCGCGTGTACGAGGGCATATCAAAGGTCGCTTGTTCGCCGGTGCTCCCGGTAAGGACGACGACGAAACGAACAATTCAATAATTCAATATTTTCTATGTATGTATGTATGTATGTTTGCTAGTTTTTATACATTTTTGTGCATTCGCTGAACTGAGGCATCTATTTGTTAACGCTTTAACAACAGCTGGGGAGAGATTTTAAATACTTGCGGTATGACGATGCCCTACTTCCATAAATTTATTCATAGCGATTCTTACTCGGCTAGGTAGCTTGATATTCCTTTTTCATCTCAGTTGAATTGGTGCGGGTAATTTTTGTTGTCGGCAGTACCTTAATCCGTTGTCGGGTCACCGAGTGACCGCCTATGTTTGCGTCCTCGGATCATTGGGTTTCACCGACACGAGCATGTCGTCCAATTGATCGTTCATTCACTGGGTTTCTCAGGAAAGGTCCCAAGTCTTCTCCGTTGTGTATTGCGATCAAGCTTGATCGATGAGCGATTATATATATCCGTGTTAGCGAACCGGAGAAAAAACAAGAGAATGACCAAATCACAGAAGAAGGATTTCTTAAAATGAACAGACTGAATCAAACCACTGCCAGAGCACAAGCACAATTTTCAACTGAAATGTAAGCATATCTCAGTTATTCAAATACAAAAGTACCGATAAATTCACCTAGATGAGTAATAAGGCGTTTGTAAACAAATAATGCCTCGATTGATTCACGGGAACTCGTTTTCATGTGTGTGTGTGTGTGTATGTGTGCAGTATGGATTAGTTTATGCAAATGATCTCGGAGCACCACCGAGTAGGCATCGTGTCGACGTAAACTTTCTGGGCAGCCCTAAAATGAAATTGTCCTTTGAGTTCCACATGCTAACTGCAGTATTTTATTCTCGTGAAGATGTTGGGGAAGAGCTTTACGTATCCACTTCTATCACAAATATCTGGATGAATAAACTCATTCGTAGACTAAAGTTCTCGAATCTTGATGAGGTTTATACCGAACGAACGAAATGGACGTAGAATACCCGCCCCGAGCGTAATTCATTGGAGCC